GTTCGAATATTTTCGATTTCGAATAATCGAAGGTTCGAATATTTTCGATTTCGAATAATCGAAGGTTCGAATATTTTCGATTTCGAATAATCGAAGGTTCGAATATTTTCGATTTCGAATAATCGAATTTCGATTATTCGAATTTTAATCGAAATCGGTGCATGCCTAACAGTAAGAGAAGGAAGAATCGCTTTCCCTCGATCAGCCGGAAATTTCTGTAATTTCGCGAAGTGTCTGAAAGTCCCGACCGATCGGAAGATACGGTTCTTCCCTCCTCCTATCTCTCACTGTGCCGAGAGGAGCTCGTGCTGTCGGATCTGATGAAACGAAATATGCCAAAGATGGCATTATCAGTGAAAAATATTTAAGCATAAATGAACTCCTAAGTTGTGAAGTATAAACAGCAAACACGCTACAACAAACAGCTTGTGGCTGACTCCATTTACAAAATGAGCCATTTGCCTGTTTGCAGAACAAACTGCACACCAAGGTTGCTACATCGTGATAGGGATGCTGATGTAACTCCAGCAATGTTCAGATTTCCGAGAAAGGAAATCACAGAAAGTTTAGAAATAGTGTTTTAGAAATATCCGTTGACTCGAAATTTCTAAAACTTTCATAACTTTCAGAAATTTCGTTTTTACAAAATCTCAATATACCACATAGAAATCTATAAAGCTTGCTGGATACTCTCTGAAGAACCTTAAAAGGCTAAAACCAGTTTTATGAGATCCTCCAAGTTGAATTATCTGTTCACTACAATCTTGTCGTCCGGTTTGTCTAGTCTACATCGATGATATTGGGATTTTCTCAAAAACCTTCCAAGAGCATAGTCAACACGTCGAGAAAGTCTTCCCTCTTCTTCAACATTCAAATTTCCACCTCAATCTGGACAAGTGTGAAATAGCAAAATTAAACATCGACTATTTAAGGCACAACATCAGTTTCCATGGGATAAAACCTGTGAAAGAAAGAATCGAAGCAACATTAACTCTTAGGGAGCCAGATATATTGGCCAAAGCCAACAAATTTATCGGCTCTTTATCGTTTTATCGTAAATACATCAAAGACTTTGCATCCATCGCTGCTCCTATACATTCAGCCACCAACTTGATAAAATCCCATAGACATCGGTTCCGTTTATTTATTCTCGGTCAAAAAATCATCGTTTACACCGATCATTGTCCTCTCTGTGCAATGATGAACAAAACTGTACGCAGTGCTTTGGCAAATCGAATCTCAATTCAACTCCAAGGATATAATATCACCGATGTGCTACATATACAAGGTAAAAAGAACTGTTTTCCTGACTACCTGTCAAGAAATTCCGGAGTTCCTATAAACGTCGATGATATAGATCCGGATTACGGTATGTGTTCCAATCCTTCTGGCTCACGGACCGCAAATGCGTTAGTGGCTGTAATGGCTCGCTGATTTTCACCTACTTCTGTTCTTGACAAGTCACCATTTACTACTGATTGTTTTGACATACAAAAAATTAAGGAAGAACAAGAGAAGGATCCAGAGATTCGAAAAAAGATTAAAGCAATCGAGAAAAATCCTAATATGGATGGGTATTCAATTGAAAAGGAGATTTTGCATAACTTGGGACTCCTCGGTTCCTGTCTCAAACAAAATTTGTTAAATGGAGAAGAAAGGACAGATTTTATTTAATTTCTCTCTTATACATTACTGAGGAGCGCTTCACATTATTCTACGAATGCTCCGATTGATTTGTTTGCACGGATTGATTCTACAGTAATTTTGATCGCTTCCCTAACCGATTGGAGAACCTTAAACAATTGGCTGAGGCTACTGCCGATATGAAGACTAACGTGTAGGTCGAAAAATAAGCAGAAATTATTTGCTCTCGCGGGCCAGAAGCAGTTTTGGGAAGTCATACGTGCTGGAAGTGAGAAGCGAAGCACTTCCCATGATTCCTAATCACTTTCACTGGAAATCATATCTAGTCATTTTCTTAGAGAAGTGACGCTGAAAAGAACGAAAACATTTTTATCAGTAGTTATGGTAAGTGTTGCTAATGAAAGAATTGTTTTCAAGATATTATCCAAATTTATTATTAATAAAGCTTTTTCTCGCGGTAGCAAGAAGCGTTTTTATAGCAGAGACGTGGTCACATACATGATCAGCGTATGATAAACAGCATCATCGATTGATCGCACTTCTGCTAGCCGTGTGTGTAATTAGAGAAAAGTACCAATTTGTGGCTGCTTTTGGCCCACGAGAGGGAATAATTTCTGCTTATTTTGCGACCTACATGTTTAAAACCATATTAGCAAGTGAGCAGGCCAAAGTGAATATATATATATTATCTATAATTAATTAGTTGTTCTTTGATGCGTTATATTACAAGTAACCTACAGGAAAAGTCAATAAAATGAAAAAGAAAGAACACGTTTTATTTAATTTCTCTCTTACACAAACATTACAGAAGAATGCTCCACATTATTCTACGAATGCTTCGATTGATTCGGTCGTAAAACCATCTTGTTTAAAACCATCTTAGGGAAGCCGTCAAAAATAAGTCTACGAATACATATAGATCAGTATCATTCTCTTTCCTTTTTCTTTCTCTGGTTTTGTTGAATGAAAGAAATTGTATTTTGGCACTATACCCGTAGTTTCTTTATAAATTAACGTTGAAGAATAATTTTGATGTTCAACTTTCGCCGAAAATTGAGTATCGGTGGATGTCATTTCAACCAAAGCACCACTCAATTTCGCTGATAAATTAAATTGTCCTCGATTAAAATCAATTAAACTTGAAAACATTGTAATATCTATCATCTGCTCTAATCCAGATGTATCTAAACGATTTTTTTTCCACCCCAAAAACAACAATTACCCTCAACAGCTAATATCGAACAGTTGATAATAGATGAGAAATTTGAAGGATAATACCATTGTGATGGTAGTTGATGTGTTTGCATATTAGTTGGACATGTTCCATCTGCCTCAGCATCACCATTTCTTACTACATTGTTAAAAGCTCCTATTAGAGTAGAATTATCGGGCAAAAATATGTCCACGTAAGCACCATTGGATACAATTGAATGCCATATTGGAGCAAGAGGTGGACGAAATGCACCAGTCAAATTAACATATTGAAATCTTGCTGTCGACGCATAAGCCATTGAAAAATCAATACCGTCTAATTGACAGTAAGTAAAATTAGCTTTATGTAAATATGCATCAGTAAAATTAGAACTGGTCATGATTGATCCATGAAAATCGGCTTGTGTTAAATAGGTATGACTGAAGGATGCTCCTATCAAATTAACATTAGGAAGATACAAATAGTCTAAATTATTTCGTGACTTGAATGATTTACCACTTAGACTAATACCACTTAAATCAGCGCCACTTAGATCGATTGGATATTTTCGGTTGTCCAAAAGACATGCTTCATATAGAAATTGTATCAAATATGTCTTTCTTTGTAAATCGATTTGTCGTAATGCTGCCAGTGTTTTAGCCCGTGCAAATACAAGACGTTCAATCATTTCTTGCTCACTAACGTTCCGTCCTTTATTCATAAATAATTCACCCATTTCTTTAATATATGCTGCAAAAATTGTATCACGTTGTAATTCATCGGCTTGACGTTGCTCTTGTTCACGTTGACGAAAGGCAATATTGTTTTCTTGTATTGTTTGTACAACGGTAAATACACTAATGGCCAACGGTAAAAGAATTGCCGATAATAATTTCAACCATTTTTCGAATAATGAACCACATTTTCTTTTCTTAACGTCCGATGCTACTTGAAATTTTGATTTTGATGGCATTGTTTCCTCTTGATTTTTAAAAATATATACTTTAGTTAAAGACTTAATCGAAATACTAATAAACTTCTAATAAACGAAAGAAATCTAATACAAGTCAATAAGAGTTTATTGTTATTATCTCACATACACACATGTCATCTGAAACTCTAACAAAATATGTACATTTGAACAAGATCAAATAAAATCTTTTCTATTCTTTGTCATTTGATACGTCACAAACATACATATGACACCAATTTACATAATGCAGATGACCATAATGACGATAGTGTTTCTTTATTTTGCGCAACAAAAATTCCTTTAATGATTCATGTTTGACACACTTATCAAACGGACTATCGGAAAATTTTTGGAAGAAATCGTATTAGAAGATAGATTTTCTGATTAAAAACCAAAGACTTGGTTTTCTAACCTTTAGGTTTTCCAGAAACCCTAGTATCGAGTTTTATCATAATATGGTGACATGCACCTCATCTGATAGAAAAATCTTTGGGCTATTCAAAATAGTATTCAGATTGGTTCCAGCCTTTACTGAAAAATCAAAAACAAAGAAGTGCTTGTGATTATGAAACACTGTGCTGCATGTATAACACCCAAAAGCTTCTTTGCATATCTTTAATGACTGATCCCACCTGTCTAGATATTTTGACCAGCTCAGTTTGTCGAGAATTTCACGGGCTATCCAATGGTGTTCTTTTGAAAAATATATAGATTTTCATTAAGACAGAAAATACTTCTAAAAGAGTATTCTGCAGTTGTTTTCTGTAGTCTGCCGCGTTTTTTGCATGTCTTTTGTAACCGGCTCCACCAGTCAAGATATTCTAACTAGCTAAGTTTGTAGAGAATTTCACGGGCTATCTAATCGTGTATAACTAGAAACTTGTGTCGCTTTTTGACAAGATTTTCTGGTCAATGACCTTTCGACGTTCAATATCATCCTGTATACTATATATAAAATGAGCCTAAATACTTTTCTTTTGTAACATAAGCTGATCTAAAAGGCGTATTTTGTTCAAAATTCAGTACTCTTTAAAACTACATGTGACTTGGCCGGTAAATGTGTGTTTTTCGAGAGACAGACTCCGTCAAGATCCTCCTTAGGGTTTCTTGTCTCCAAAAGGCTTTTTTGTGTTTTGACCATATGTATAATACTCCGTCCGACTCAGTTTTATTCGTACATTACGAATATGGCGTTAAAACTAGTTGATAAGTAAATTAGACCAGAAAAAACCAAGTTTAAGTTGTAAAGGGCGCTCCGAAGAACAGTTTTAGTTTTCATTTTCTTTACCATGTACGCATGTATGGTTCGATATGTATCGATATTCTATTCATTGTTTAAACATTCTTTTATGGTATGATATTCTCCTC